TTGGGGTCAACACTGATGATGACTCAGAGCTCACAGAGTTAAAGGTAGCAAAATGTTTTTACTTTGGAGTAATGACAGGACACTGAGTATAAAAAACTGTCTTACGGCATTTTTGTAATTTTTACTGAAGTTCAAATTGAGCATCCGAACGGGGAAGAAAGGTGACTTTGAATGAGGCATGGTTGTTGGAGCCAGACATGCTGGTTTAAGTATTTCTGAAACTGCTGATCTGCTGGGATTTTCCCACACAACCATTTCTATGGTTTACAGAGAATTGTCCAAAGAAAGAGAAACTGTCCAGTGAGCAGCAGTTTTCTGGGTGAAAATGCCTCGTTGATGCCAGAGGTCAGAGGAGAATGACCAGACTGCTTGGAGCTGAAGGCAACAGTAACGCAAATAACAACTTCTTATAACCAAGGCGTGCAGATGAGCATCTTGGAGCACATAACAGATGGGCTACAGCAGCAGGAGACCACACAGGGTTCCCCTTCTGTCAGCTAAGAACATGAAACTGAGGCTACAATTCACACCAAACCTGGACAACAGAAGGCTGGAAAAATGTTGCCTGGTCAGATGAGTTCAAATTTCTGGTTCAACATTCAGGTTTTCAGTAAACAACATGACAGTGTGGATCCATTCTGCCTTTTATCAACAGTTTTCAGGCTGCTGGTGTTTGTGTAACGTGTGAGGGATATTTTCTTGGCACGCTTTCGGACACTTAAAACCAAATGAGCCTTGTTTCTTCAAAAGTTTGAAGACGTTTTTCGTTTTTGAAGCCCTTCAGTCTCAGATGGCGTCTGATGGTTATGGTGCTGCAGTCGGCACCAGTAACAGCCTTAATTTGGGTCCAGGATTTTCCAGTGTCTTGATAGACAGCCAATTGGATCCTCCGGCTCAGTGGTGGTGAAATTTTTGTGGGTCTTCCACTTGACTTTTTCCGTAACCCTCAAGATCGGTTACGAAATTCCAAAATCCAAAATCCCTGCACCTGCTGTGCAGTTCAACAACCTGACCACATTTAAAAAGGGAACGTTTTTTTTGCCTTGGCCATCAAAACGTTATGAAAGTGTGACTATCTGACCGAAAATGACAATGAATACACATTTTTGCACAGATTTAGCTTTTTAAAGGCATGTGGTCCTTGATCAGCTGTAAAACAGCCTGTTTCAGTTTAAGCGTTGCTTTCAATAAACTGCATGCTCACTTTTTGCATGTTTTGTCTCACTCCCATTTCTTCTTGTTGCAAGCTCTACTTGGAACCTTGGAATCTTGTTAAGATCCAACCATGCAAAATATGATTTTTTGCCATTTTTCAAATGGCCTTAAACTTTTGATCGGGACTGTATAAACATCGCAGCATATCTGAGTATTGTTGCTCACCATATCTGTCCCTTTATGACCGTGTCACAAAGCTCAGCTCAAACCAGAACTGGTTTCTTGAGTAAGACAAACAGTTCACTGTAGTCGAATGGCCTCCACAGTCACCAGACCTCTCTCCATGTTCACTTATGGGATGCATGGGAACAGGAGATTCTCATGATGGATACGAAGCCGACAGATCTGCAGCAACTGTGTGATGTTGTGATGTCATCATGAACCAAATTCTGAGGAATGTTTCAGTCACCTTGGTGAATTTATGCCATGAAGAATTAAGGGATACTAGTGTAATTAATAAAGTGGCCAGAGAGTGGTTGATGCTTCACCGGTCACTATAGGAATGAAAAAAGTTGAGGCCAGCTCAACCTTGATTTTCCACATCCGCACGTGTTTACTGTGAATTTGCAGCCTCATATTTCTGGCTGAACACACCACTACTACCTGCACCACTGGACCGCAGAATTTGGAAGTAATCATTTGTAAAATGGCACCATATCAGCACCATTTGAGGCCTGTGTGTAAGTAGTTCTTGCAGATTGGTTTTGCAAAGCAATCCCATGGTGCACGAGCCAAAAAGCTTTTTTCCCCCTCTTGGCACATGAATCTGCATTGGGTTCACATCATGAAAACATAAATCACTTCCTCTGACTTTGGGAAAGTTTTACATAAAAAAAAACCCTCTGCAGAATCCACTCAGATTGTGCTTTGTGGTGTTCTTTCAGTAGGTCCACAAACTCCAAGAAGTGTCAGCGTGCAGTCGTTTTTGCTTTTAAAAGCAAAGCTTTTTTTAAAGCTTTGACTAGATTTAGGGAGACGGATGTCATTGTCAAATCAAAATATTTTTAGATTTTCCTCTTAAGATTTCAGACCACTGTGAGTTGGAGCATGAAAACAAATGCTGACTCAGAGAAGACACAAAAAGTGTCAGGAGGAGGCTGCAGACAGGGCGGAGCGCTCCGACAGCGTAGACATAGCATCAGGCCACACAGAGGCTTCCTTGTCTATAAACACAACCTGTTGCTGCTCTCTCAAGAGTATGCTATGCAGGGAATGCCAAAAGGATTAGCGCCTAGCCATTTGAGATAATGGGGAAAAATGAGACGTGATGTGGCGGAGGAAAGCAACAAAGAGTCAAGGACGAGACAGCATCACATTTCTTTCATTCTCCTGTGTTTATGCCGCAATCGGTGGTTACTCTGTCCAAAATTAGCCAAGAAAAAAACCATAACAAGGTGGCAAGAAATGACATACTCGAAGATAGTTTCATTTTTGTGTTTATTTGCTGTGTACATCATACACAAACTTCTTTGGAATAAAAGCCGAACCTCTCGTGTGTGAAATTAAAAAAAGGAGAATCAGAAGTTACGTCGCCACTTTGCAAAACATGCAAACAAATTTTTATTTTTTTTCTTAACAGGGAGATCTGAAAAAAATCCAGGTGGAAAGATTCTCAGGAGTGTGCCATGCTCATGATAAATACAGAAAATAATTGACATTGCAAGTAACTGCGTTATTTTATCACGTGTACAAAAATAACATGCCCTTGAGTTCAGTAATACTCTCAGTCTAACCTCCACATACCTCAGCAGTTCACATTACAGTGGCGCAGTCCAGGGCAAGCAATGGAAATGACCTTTCATTAAGATAAAGCGGGAATAACTGAAGAATGGATGAGGTGAAGGTGAGGTAGGATCTGCGGTTATCAGGGAGAGCAGCCCCCTTTTGCATGTTTTGTGATGGGAATGGTTGACCGAGTTAACATCTGTAAGCTGCCTGATGGTGGAAATGACATCCTAAAGCATCTGGCAGGAAAGGCCTGTCAGCTTGAGTTCTTTTACTCTTATAATATATTACTTTTTTATATATATTCAGTCTTGAAATTTCAGTGAAACACAAATATTCGCCTGCTGAAGTCCAGTTCACAGTCACAGGACAGACAGGGTGTTTATCCCTGTTTTCATTCCTGAAACTCTTAAGCTTACCCAGCAGTGACCACTGAATAGGTGTGGAAATCTGTGAGTGGGTCACATTAAATATCCTGAACACTGATCCTAACTAAGGGTTGAAAAATGAATTTCAAATAATGAAAACTAGCTAAGCATGGCTCCTTTTTTTTCAGGACAAAGAAGCTTCTTTGAATCCAGCTCAGTGATTAACATTATATGAGATGAAATATCTGTAAGGAGTCAAAACTATATTTCTATGTGTCATTTCCTCACTCTGTCCAGTTCAGTGCATTAACAACCCCATGGGGGTGCCTCACATGTTTGTTCCAACGCCTGCGTTTAAGGAGTAAAAAAGGAAAAAAGCGACACACAAACTAAACTGGGACAGATTCGAATGAGGTACTCATGGTTCACTTCACACTCACACAGCATTTTTCCTGTTTGGAAAAAAACATAGCTTAGTGGTTTTCCATTTTAAATTAGTCATTAGGGAGAGCGGTGATGTCAAGGAGGCTAAGCTGTGTTGACTGTGTCAAACAAACATACACTTATGTGCCTTGTGAGGATTCACAGGGGGCTCATTTCAAATCAGTTCTTATCTGGTTATGCAAATAAATGAAAAGAAGCTACAAATGGAGAGGACAGTAATCCAGCGCCCACTCCACATGCACACTCATACACATTTATGATAATGGGGGAAAAAAATGCGACGGAAAATAGCTCCATTTGCCGTAAAGGTCACAAAATACTTCCACAGGCTTTATAAATACAACAAATCAGATTGACAGGATATAAGTAGTAGCAGTTATTCTCTAATTTAAAGAAGCTGTGCCTTTGGAGTGAAGAGAGCAAAGGTAGATGCGTGTCATGAAATGCTAATCCTGTGAATGTTGACCACTGAAACAAATCCAGGGTCTTTGACTCTCGTTTGAAATGTAAAAATTCAAATCATATTTTGAAGCCAGATTCGATTAACGAAACTGTTTGAGCCTCAAAAGTTAAAAAACCAAACAAATGTTGCACTCTGTTGCAGCCCACAGAGGATAACGTACTTTAAATTTATGTGAAATACACAACACCTCCACAGCTCTCAATGGCACAAGAATCCTCGTCCATCTATCAAACCGTTGATTCTTTGGGTCCTTCGCGGGCGGCGTTTTTACACCCGTAAAGCCATTTGATGACGCGAGCATTTCTCTCAATTATCGACACGCCAGTGGGAAGCTGCTCAGCCAGCTCCTCCTCAAACAGTCCATCTCCTGAGTGGCGGGAGAACTCACTGGGCTCCGAGCCTCCACAGCCGTCCCCGCCCACGCTGCGAAGCGCCAACGAGAGAGTGTCTATAGAGCTGGCCCCTGAGAGGAAATTCTGGCGACCCAGACGCTCTACCATATCTACGTCCAGGCCACAGAAGTCAAAGAAATGCTCCTGCTCTGATAACGCTACTGAGCAGCGCAGATGTAAGTCTGACTTGGAGCGCCGCAACTCTCCAAACTGTCTTCTGGGTGCCGGTGGTGA